TAATAAAACGTGTTGTGTTGGTTACACATCGTTGATGTTGTGTCTAAATTCGTGATGGCCAACCTTGACTTAATGGATCACAATCAATAGTAAAACTGTCTAGATTAGACACACAAAGCGACATTTACTGGGAGAGTCTATGTTCAGACCAGGGGGCTGTGGGGCGGGGGGATTCCCGCACTAGTTAGACTGCACAGTAAGGATTTAGGACATGAATTTCCCGTGTGGAATGACGTCCCAAACACAACTGGTCTGGTTTTCTCCCCGACCGCCCTGAACTCATCCTCAACCGTCTCGAAAAAACTTTCTATCAAAGGAAGGACACATCGTCGGTTTTATTGTGCCAGTTGAAGAATATAATAAGTGTTGGTTTTGTTGTGAGGTGTGTGCGTGTGTGTGTGTGTGTGTGTGTATTTTAGATTATGTGATTGATTTTAGATTATGTGATTGTGCTAGTGCCACTGGGGTCCTACGTGTACGGTAATGTGTTTTACGCACCACGGGTTTATCATCGAATGGCTGTAATCCAATTAGTCCATCACAGTGTCAGGTTTTCATACACAAATTTAGCTCATTTTTTTCTTTTAGTTTGGAATTCTGCTGTCACTGCAATTATATTAAATGCTTTTTTCCCTTTAAAAGAGGTTAAAGAGAGGGCTTGTTCTAAAGTTGTGAGAATTTAGCTTTTATTGGATATTCTACACCCTTCTCAGGACGTGGGAGTTTAACGTCCTATCGACACAAACTAAATCATTTCGGGACTTACATATGGTTCAATTTTATTTCAATAATTCTCTTGCACGTAGGGATCTGTTGCATTGAGAGGAAACCGGAGGACCAGGGGAAAACTCACGAGGTTGGATAAGTGACCCTAAGCCTTGTCATGTACAAGTGGATAATCGAAACCATTCAGTCACCCAACCCCCGGTTGTTATAGGAACTTCCGGCAAAATACTAGACTATGTCTTGAATAAGGAACACAATCGATAACAATAATTGGCTTACAAAAATCCGTTCGTTCGATAAAGGCCGGAGGGATGACCGAGGGGGGCTACATTTTTATTCCAGTCTAGACCTCCAGTCATTGCTTTTGATTTTTATTGTACGTTGTACGATACGAAGGCTATGAATATTGATTTATCATCAGTTACTGTCAAATTACTAGTATACAATACCATTTCGTTGGTTCCGGAGATTTTAACCCCTTCACCTTGATTCCATATTGCTAACTACCGGTTTGACGCAGAACTCCACCCGTGTCAACCTACCCCAAATGTCTATGTTTTAGTACGATGAAAAAAGAGAGAGTGGGAAATGCGGTTTAACGTCCAGTCCACAGAAACTAGGTCATTTCGGGACTAACATAAGATAAAATCTTATTTTAATAATTTGCATTTATTTTAGCCTTGGGAAGAAACTGTAGGACCCAGCGAAAACACACGAAGTTAGACAGGCCATCCATCTCCAAGTCCATATCCATGTCACGTACAAGTGTTTGATATATGACAAACCGTGTGATCTAACTCTAGTATGACGAAAAGAATAATAACACAAATAAAGAGTACACCATTGTAGGGGAAAACATCCAAACGTCAAAATAAATTTTCCTAAGGCTGAACACAAACAAATAAGCAAGATGACTATAACTCAATAATACGAATTGTGTTTTAATTGACACCCGTCAGTGACTAATTGTCGTCAATACGCCGATGACAGCAACATTGAAGTGGAAATTATAGACTTCAAAACAAAATGGACGGATACCTGACCTTTTCAAATGACGACTAATTAACAATTATTGGTTTAATTTGCTTTGGTTAGATTGGTTTTACACCCTTTTTCAGCTATCCCAGCTCAAGTAGTAGAAAAAAGTGTAAATATATTGCCACTCTTGTCAATATCCCCGTCTATAGCTGCCACTTACTTCACCATGCTTGTCAAAATGATCAGGAGAATTTATTATGACATTAATATTGAAAGCGATATTTTATATTTGTCAGAAAGAAACCCATTTAATTTAGTGTGCTGTGTCGATAGAGACTTGTCAAGCAACACATTTAGTTTAGCAATGAACGCACGAAAATAGGCCAAGATCGCAAATTATTACAGAACTTGATTGAAAGGACTTGTAAATAAACTGGTTAGTTCGGAGAATTTTAAGTGGTTATGTTAGCAGTGATAATAAAATCTCAAAATCTCAAGTTAATGAACCCGACTGCAATCTGATTAAAATACCGATCTATATTTCGTTTCGTTTTTTTATACTTTCGATGGCCTACACTACATGAAGATCTTTCAAGTTATAGCGATAGGTCACGTCAGGGATAAAAAAAGACAGACTTATGACCCTATGATGTCAGACATTTGATTAACCAATCAGAATTGATGTTACTAGTAGATTACCCACAGTTCCGTGCAAAACACGCCTAAAGCTCGCCGTAATAGACCGTTTCATTGGCTTATCCCTGACACCATTCAGAATACGAGTTAAATAACAACTCTTCCAGATCCAAGTGTAGTAAAGACAAGTAAAACGAAATTTTGAACTATAAAAACGAAACGAAATAGAATAACCTGTAGATGATGAAATGAATGAATTGAAATAAAATGGGCCTAACGACCTACTGTTTTGCATACGCCATACACATGAGGGGAATTTTGTACGGACAGCGGCGATACGGCCTACTCTTATATCGAATTCCAACTACCAAGGGATATTTTACGTGCACGTCAATGTGTACACGGGACCTCGGTTTTTGTCCCATTCGAACGACTAGACAGCTGTCCTTGTCAGGCTTTCCGACCTGCAGCACTGACGAGGGGAACCACGCCGGAAAATCCCGAAGAACTTTCTCGGTCAACACCGGGAGCGAACCCGCGACGTCCAGACTAGCGAGTCAGCGTCTCACTCACTTAGCCACCGTGGCTCCCCATGATGGTGATGATGAACATAATAATAATAACACTCAGAGAAAATGAGGTATTAGAATCTCAGAAGGCGTTGTTCGAAGCCATTTTCTAAGTCATATTTACTTTATATTTCACTTAAAATTTCACCACCATTGATCCGATAGACTTTCAAAGATGTACTTTTCATTCAAAGCTACCCATGTACAAGTCCCACTGGCAAATTATCTGCTTTTCTGATCTATTAAATTATTTTTTTTTGATTGGGTTCCGTATGCAAGACATTCTCGAAATCGAGAGATTCGTCGGACATTTTAAAAATTGTAGATCCAGGGAGATTGAATTTTGTTATCTGAATTGTTGTTTGGCGGATCTCATTTTCAGCCTATATTGATTAAATTCATTTTTTTGAAATTTCGTTACAGAAAAAAACCCTGAAACCTGATTATATGTCTAAAGTTCTAGTGTCTCGCACGACCCAGAACGTTGATAATACTATTATGTCACTGAGATCTAATAAAAGAGCGAGCCGTGGAATACACAGGGGAGGGGAGAATATCGTAAATTTTTCCTCCCTGAGAGGAAATCAGAATATTTTATTAAAGCTGAATCCTCGACAGTCAGGATATGATCGATACTGGAGTCATCTGTATTCCCTGGACAAATACCTTGACGTACACAGCTCCACTAATTTACTGGGCCTGATCGTAATTTAACTGCTGATTATACTAATATCCGCACTCACTGATCCATGCGTATTTTAAACAGTCAGATATCATGATATATGTATTATTGACAAAAATACAAGCCTTAGAAACCTTAGCCATTTCTTGACATTCGTAGTTCGATCCCTGCATTGGCCGAGAAAGTTCATCCAGATTTTCCGGCGTGGTTCCCCCTCGTCAGTGATGCAGGACGGAGGGCCTGACAAGGAGAGCTGTCTAGTCCTTCGGATGAGACGAAAAACCGAAGATCCCTTGGCAGTTGGAATGCGATATAAGAGTAGGCGATAGTGCCGCTGCCCGGGCAAAATATCCCTCATAGCATACTGTATGGCGTATGCCCGTCTTCATTAGCCCAGTTTAGGAGCAGAACAGTAGGACGTTAAACTCCATTTCATTTCATTTCATTTTGACATTCGTAACGGCATCATCTAATAAGCTAAACGTAACAACATACTATCAAAATTAATCTGCTACCTACTGATCCAGGACTTAAACAAAATGTGCGGTTTTCAAACAATTCGATTTCTTGATATACTTATTGAACGAAACCTAAGCCAAACGCAAACGTGACAAAATCCGTTTGCGACCTACTGATCCACTATACACATTGAACGAAACCCAAGCCAAACGCACACGTGACAAAACCGAAAGAGACCGAATGAAGCAGTTTACAGCACGAAGGAGTGGTTACGTTTCTGCAGGAGTTTAATTTCTCCCCTAAACCCCTGTGATTAGATAGAGTTGAATAATTTGTATTCAGTCAAATTATGTACCAGGCACTGTATTGCATTATGAAAGGGGTTATTCATAACCACAGTTAGGACAGGGTTAGAGTTAAGGTAATCATATATAATACGAGGTAATGGGTTAGGGTTCATAAATACATACGGTATTTACGAAGTAAACTTTATTCGTAAACACTGTGGTTACGAGTTAAACTTTACTCGTAAACACAGCAGTTACTTTATTCGTGAACACTGCGGTTACGAGATAATCTTTACTCGTAAACACCTTGGTTATGAGATAATCTTTATTCATAAACACCATGTAAACGAGTTAAACTTTACTTGTAAACACGGTAGTTACGAGATAATCTTGATTCGTAACACGGTAGTTACGAGATAATCTTGATTCGTAAACACTGTTGTTACGAGATAATCTTTATTCGTAAACACCGTTGTTACGAGATAATCTTTATTCGCAAACACGCAGGTTACGAGTTAACACAGTACTCTTTATCCGTAAACATTGCGGTTACTAATAATGTTATTTTTAAAATATAAAGTGTCGTAACGGTAATATGACATAACAATACGATAGTGAAATCCGTGATTAAGAGCCACACGATTGAAAAGTGATTGTTTTTACCTTTTTCATAATCCGGCGGTGCCCTCGGATCATATGGATCTTCAGTCGCTGACGTGTTGATCATTTGATTTAGTAGAGCTTTCCTGTAATATCAAAACAACGAAATTAAAATGGCTACCTTTGTAATACAATGTCATTTGGGATCTAAATTTTAATATTGTATTTTGAATTCATACTTTTTATTTGTATCTCATTTTGGACATATACTTAAAAGTGTCAGATTAATTGTAAAATTTAATCTGCATCAGGTGTGGGGTGTTGACATAATATTATGTAAGATTGAATGGGTTTGTCAAACATGTATCTTCGGAGTGTCTATATGACATAAGATTTAGGCTTAACACGTATCGACACCTTTTGTCTAAAGATAAGATGTGTGAATCTTAATAAATAGTTTTCATTGTTCTGATTACTAATGCTATTAACTATGGCGTGCCTATCTGACGCGACAGATATTGTTGCACCTTATAAAAAGCCTAGTTGAGAATCAGACCTAGGCAGACCTGGAGAGAGATGGGAGAGACCCGTAGAGACTTAGAGGTCTTCCGGACCTCGGGAGAGGGTCTGCCCTCGACCCCGGAGAAGTTAGGTCTTCTGAGACCTAGTAGGAGCAGCTATAGATAGACGTTACTATACCCAACCAAATGACGTTCATATGTAGAATTGTACCTGTTATCCAGTATTAATATATCTTTTTAATAAATAAGAGTTATGTATTGTATCACATACTCTTAAGTGGTGCCGTGATCGACGAACCTGTGGTTATATTACATACTCTTAAATGGTGCCGTGATCAACGAACCTGTGGTTATATTACACCTTTGATTGTGGGCAACACTAAAACCGTGGGTTATTTTACGTGGATTTGATTTGTGGGGTGACAGTTTACGCGGAGATTATCTTAGGACCCTTTTCCTTCTGAAAGCTGAAGTACGCTGCTGCCACGAATTTGAAGTGACATCTTACCAAAACGTTACACATGGGTGGACTGTAAATGAAATGGGGTTTAACGACCTACTGTTCTGCTCCGATTGGGACAGATATACACCACGCTATGGCCTACTCTTATATCGAAATCCAACTGCCAAGGGGTCTTTTACGTACACGCCAATGTGTACACGGAGCCTCGGTTTTTCGTCCCATCCGAACGACTATACGTTGTCTCTTGTCAGGCCCTCGGTCCTGCACCACTTATAAGAAGGAACCACGCCAGAAAATCCCGATGAACTTACTCGGCCAACTCAGGGATCGAACAAAGGGACCTTTAGGTTAGCATCTTACTCACTGAGCCACCGTGGCTCCGGACTGATGATGAGCCCATCGATATGGTAGACTCGCGAGCCCTTCAAGGCGTTAATGTTTTCACGTAGTTTGGGGGCCTTTTTTAATCTTGAATTTAAGTCATTGTTGATGCATTGTTAAGATTGTCACAATACGGTAGAAACACCCGGATGTGATCTAGAAAGCACCATTTACAGTCAAAAAATAATTCTACCGGATCCCCTAAATTGACGCTACATAATTTATGATTCCTTTCTGCTTTCCAATCAATTTAGTATTGCAGTAACGTTTATTTTGGAAAATATGAAAATGGCTTAAGCGATCGCAAACATTCCACGGTCAACTCTGCTTTGGCCAGCATAGATATATCAGTAGTTAAAAACAAATTAATTTCCATTGTTGTGTTTCATTTTGGCCTCGTAGCTGGGAGATACGCGCAGTTTAATGGGGTTTATCACCCAATAATACATTTTACAGTAAATATCGCTTGTGTGATAAATTTCTTAATCTACTGCGATATCTCCTTAGAAGATATCGTTTTTCATGAATTTGATTGGTCAATCAAAAAGGAACTACTTGTTTATTTTCAAAGAACAGTTCATTTTTTATTAAAAGTAACTTATTTGTTATTAAAAAGGAACTATTTTTATTTAATTGACCTTGATGGAAACACTGGGTCAATATAAAGGACTTTGCAATGGTTGAATTAATGTCAAAAAATGATGTATCACTACGCCGTAATGTAACCAGGTTCAGTAAAAGTTAAATTTATAGCAAAGAATTATATTTATTTATTTGTGCATGTAAGAAGGGATTGTGTGATAAATAAAATCTCCTACTCGTCTTTTTTGATATCAAAAAATAGGAGATTCTCTATATACTTTCTTTTCCCTGTGAACAATCGATACATTTCCTTAATGCGCATGTCTTGTAAACGTTTTTCGTAACTTGATTTACTTCATGTTCCTCAAGGAAAGACAACGAGTTTTACACCATCTTGCTGTTACTCGTTTGGTCTGAAATTCCCAAACGTTTAGGCACGTTATCTCTTTTTACCACAGACATGCGAATAATAATATTGTCCAATTAGAGGTCGTAATACACACACATAAAGGAATAGACACGTTTACAGCCATTGGAAGTTTTAAGTTGAAAAATGAAAAAGCAAACTTACTTGCATAATAGAAGAACAAAAAAGTAAATTAGAAAGGTTATGACTACGCTGTGATGTGGTTCGTAGCATTATCATAGCGGAAAAGCTGAAGTTGAAGAGAACAAGTTCCAGCATCCTTGACACTGAACGAACCACCTTGCAACTCGATTATTAGGAGACATTTCAGTTGGAAAGCGCGAGACGTAGTATTCGCGATATTTTCTATCGGGTTATGGGGGGGGGGGGTCTAAATATTAAGGCCGCCTGCAAATTTCGTCAAGTTCATGCGATGTAAACAGGGTTGGGATTGTTATCGAGGATTGGGGTTAGGGCTAGGGTTAGTGCTAGCCCTGTTTACATCTCGTGACTTTGACGAAATCAACAGGTTAACCTAGAGCTGGATCCTTAACCAATCGACATTACGTGCAGGCCTTGATAAGATGTAATAGTGCGGACTCAAAGCGAGATTAAGCCTTTCTATTCAAGAGGTTTTACTGCGGCTTTTTTTAATATTTACTATACTTATTTATTATTGGGTTGCATGTCAGTTAACAACACGACTGGCTCTTATCATGTTATCTGATATTTGAGGGCACACACACACACACCATCTTACACACACAAACACCCACACGCACACACACCCATGCACTATCCATTTGTTTGCTAGGTGTGTATGACATTGGATGAGTTTAGTGAATTATCCGGTCACCGTAACTGTTGGTTCTGTTTTAGAATAAAACCTCTTGAATATTACGTGTCATATTGGCTTATTGAAGAGTTTGCATGCCAGAGTCAGTGTTAGACCGGATCTAATCTGAATTACTCAATAATAGCTATTTATTTTTCACATATTTAATACGGTCTCATGAGAATAAAATCACGATTTTAATGCCGACATGTTTTTAAGTTAATCAAAGAGAAAAGGAAATAGCCTTTATATATTTTATTTAGAAGAGTTCTGTTGGCTCACTAATCCCGAGGGTCATCGGCTCGATCCCGGTGTTGGTCGAGAAAATTCGCTGGGGTTTTCCAGCGTGGTTTCCCTTGTCGATGATGCAGAAGGGAGCGCCTAGTAAAGAACACCGTCTAGTTGTTTGGATGGTACGGAAAACCGAGGTCCCGTGTACACCATGGCGTGCACGTAAAAGAACCCTTGACAGTTAGTATTATATTGCTGTCTTTAACAGCATGACGTATGCTCATCAATTAACAAAGTTGGGACAGAAGAGTATGCCGTCAAACCCTATTTCATCCATGCATTTATTCAGTTGGCCAAAATCCGTTATCTGAGTTCCGAAGTGCCCCCCCCCCCTCTGTCAGTGGTGCAGGACGGAGGTCTGACAAGGAGAGCTGTCCAGTCATTTGGATGGGACGAAAAACCTAGACCCCTTGTATACATTGGCGTGTACGTAAAAGATCCATTGATAGTTGGAATTCGATATAAGAGTAGGCCGTAGTACCGGTGCCTGGGCATAATTTCCCCCATAGCTTACTGACGTATGCCCGTCTTTATTAGCCCGGTCGGAGCAGAACAGTAGGACGTTAAACCCCATTTCATTTTATTTCGTTATAGGTTGAATAACCGCTGTCTGGATTACAACGTAAAAAGACAGTGGTGTACGTGTTAAACGCACTTTATAATTTCCCAACTTGGTAATAAATAAAAGAGTAATTGTATTTTACTGCCAATATAATATATGATGATATCTTTATTACATCCCTGTGAGGATTGGCTTTATTACACTTTGCTAGAATTATACCGGATAAATAAAGTACTACTTATGTTGAGAATACATATTTAAATATAAATAAAATCCCCACCCCCCACCCCACACCCTCACACCCTCACACCCTCATCTCTCAATGACAGACCTCAGTGGTGACTAGTCGGCCACCCCCTAAAATCCAAAAAGAAACAATTTACACATCAAAATATGTTAGAAAAGGCCGATGTCTCCCGTATGTTTATGACGGTATATTATAGTCTTACCTTGTTAATTCTGGTTTTATATGAACATGATGTGTAGCTGCCGACACAGACACATCTGGATATATTCCAACAAATAAAACCAGAATACCCAAATATAGAGACGACAGCTTTATACAAATCATTTCTTTACTTATTTCGATATTTAACCTGAAAAGATAAAAAACATAATAGGACTTTTGAAATCAGGATTTAAATTTATGCTTAAACACTGACGGTCAGAATAACCAAGGTGAACCATTTCCCGTTTCTAAAAACGCTTTCAGCTTAAAATTACAGAAACCCACCGATCACTCGAGAACACCGCAATAATATCAGCTGACACATTTGGCTGCTTCATCACATAATGGCGTCCGAACGACCAGTTGTGGTTCCGTGCAATGCCTTCCTGATAAGGGGAAACCTATCAAGAAAATCACTAGGAACATTAACAACCTACCACTGGGGCAAATAAGAGATCTCCCCCGTATCGAGGCACCGCCTTATCCGCTGAGACACAGCAGCTCGATACGTACCGTGTAAAATATGGGACTCTCCCTTTAAAATCTAAATGATCAATGCTCCGGTTTCTAATAATTGGCTGTTTATTTAACAGACAATATTGAAATACAGATACACAGCAATCCTCGCTGATATCTGATATTCTGTCTTTCATTCATTTATGCAAGGTTTTTTGCTTTTGTGCAGCAAAATCGTTATTGCTATCGTAAAAATAATTGACTATAACATCAAATACCGAACTTTGACATTTATTGCTATTACAAACAATCCACTTTTTGTTTTACACTGATATTTTATGAAAACATTATACCGATGTCAATAAATAATTCCCTTCATTTATTATGTGGAAACTAATGAATAAAAAGTTTGCCCCCGAACGATAACACAAGCCAATAAAATGGAATATTTATATTATTTTCTTGACTGCTGAATACCTGTGCTTAAAGGGACTATCCCGATTTGAACAGAGTCTCAAAAATAAAAGTCCTAGTACATTTGAAACTTAAGCGCCAAAATATAGAGGAATGGTGTGTTTACCTTGTCCCAAAAATTCAGCTTATTTAGTCGTTTGGACGTGAACGTCATAAATGCTTATCCGGACACGTAACCCTTTTAAGATTTCTGGTCATTTTTTCGTTGGGTGACCTGATAATCGATTCCCATTCCTTGAGAGGTTTATACAATGAATGATCCATGTGCTGCACTTGATAACGAAAGTTAAATTTCACCTACACATTAATTTTATAAAGTAAAAGTCTGATTTATCCATAAACCGCATAATACAGTTTGGTACACCGGTCTCCATTTCCAGATGAAGACCGACAGGTTTAAGTTGTTTGAAAACGTATCACAAATATTGAGTTAGTTGCTCAGCCCTTTGGTAGAGGATTTTAAGGGATTTTAACACAAAATTAAGCAGTTTTATTCTCCGACATATTATCGGGATTGGCCCTTTAAAAACGCATTATCGTTGGTTTCTTTTCTTACATCATATATTATATTAATTATTAAAATGAAATGAAATGGGGTTTAACGTCCTACTGTTCTGCTCCTATGCTGGGCTATATTAATTATTATTTAGAAATTTCGTCACATGACAAACCCGTATTCATCTCTCTGGGTCATCGGATGGCTACGATATCTTTAAATATTTAAAATGGATAAAAACATTCGCATCATTTAAAATATAACAATAAAATGAATAAAGAGCACTTTTGGTTATTATCGTAGCCATTATATTTGACAATCGAGACTATATAGTTTAAACTTTAAACATTAATAACTTTGCTCAGAATAAAGTAATGTAATTGAAAGTTTCAATATATTCATTTTTCATTATCTAGCCAAAACGGTCAGCTCTAATGCACCTTTAATCCATCACATCAACCAGAAAACGGATTATATAATAACTCTTCCAGATCCTCGTGCAGTAAAGACAAGTAAAACGATATTTTAAACTATATAAAAAGAAATGAAATAGGATCTGGATTATGTTATTCTTTAAATAACATTTAGTAATTGGGACATAATCAATTACATTAAAAGCTTTATGCTGTTTAGATATAAATGGCTGTTTTTCTGGATTCAGTTTTGGTTTATGTCTTCTCATGTTGATCGCTTCGTGTTCTATTTCTGTTGGATAAAGTTTTTTAATGACACAAACGCGCGTGGTGAGTAAGCGCGTGTGGTGCTTATTGAATATACTATAGGCTAGTTCCAATGTAATACGATCTTAATTATACAACAGTGGCATTTGCATTTCATAACTACAAAACAATCTACGATCATGAACTAGTTACGTACGAACTATAACATACATTGACTAAAAACATTTCATAACCATAAAACAATCAACATTAACAAGTTACGTTACAAACAATAACAACCATTAGCTCTACACTAAAAACATTCGTAACTAGAAAATAATCTACCTATAAAACAAACAATAACAAACATTCACTCAGTACAATAAAGACATTTAGATCTAAAAAAAAACAACACAAAACAATCTACATCCATGAACAACTTCGGGTACAAACGATAACAATTAATCTCTAACCCAGTACTATAACCATGAACTGAAATGGGGTTTAACGTCCTACTGTTCTGCTCCGACTGGGCATACGCCATACGATATGCCATGCGGGAATTTTGCCTGGACAGCGGCACTAAGGCATACTCTTATATCGAATTCCAATTGCTAAGGGATTTTTTACGTGCACGCCAATGTGTACACGGGGACGCGTTTTTTTTGTCCCATCCGAACGACTATACGTCGTCCCTTGCCAGGCCCTCTGTCCTGCACCACTGAAAAGGAGGATGTATACTGGAAATCCCGATGAACTTTCTTACTATATAACCAATACCAGCCCACAATAAAGACATTGAGAACGTATTTATGAACTACTAGCAGGATACCCGGCTTCGCTCGGGGGTCATAACTCCGAAACCGGAAGTGATAGACTAACGCCACCTGGCCTATGTAGCCGCCACCCCGAACAGACAGACAGACAGACAGACAAACGACAGTCACAAATATATATATATAGAAGATAGATTATGTGTAACAGTTATGCTGTTGATACGTTAATAACCTATTTCGCATACTTACAAAGTGTAGTGTAATATTTCGAGAGATTATATTTACATTTTACCTACAAATTCCGGTAATCGAATTTTTCATGACTATCATTAGCGTAAATTACCAATTACTGGCACCAATGGTTTCCATTAGTTGACCTTGACGATGACCTTATATTGACTGTATACCTAGTGTGACTGTACAGTAATACGATTATCCATTAACACCACTACATCTGCTAGTCATGTTGTAATTTTCTTCTTAACAAAATTACTACCATTGATACTATTTGGTATACGATAACAGATTAGCTACTTTCAATTAAAGATCAGACCGAGTTCACCTAATTATTAAAACAAAATTCCCACCAAGTACCCGAATCTCTGACTCAATACCATCCATAGTCTTCCACATTAAAAACACGAATTAGAATTCAATATTGGTCCATGTTTTTATCTTATCGTGAAAATGTCCCATCCCAATATCCAATATTAAAGACCAAATGAACATTTTTAAACCAGTGTGCGACATCCGTTTCTCTGTGGTCTTGAGGAACATTTGTAATGGAGCGCCTTGATGTACGGAGCAAATAGTCAGTGTGTCACTGGAATTTCAAACTGTACTCCCGATGTAGACTGAACAAACCAGGAGGGAATGGGTGACATTCCATTTGGACTTCTCGCATATTTCACCGAACATAACTCATTAGAAATTACATTATGTTTTAAAAATTGAATATAAATCAGTTTTTATTCATTCATTTTTTTTTACCCATTTTCTTCCATTTTATGTTCCAAAAAGGTTCAGCTCCTTAAACTCAAAGTATTTCGCAATGATGTTGTCTGGGCTCACTGGAGACCAGTATAGGTTACATTGTATACTACTTATAACTAATGAAATGGGGTTTAACGTCCTACTACTACTTATAACAGATTTAACAGATCCGTATCAGAGAGAGAGAGAGAGAGAGAGGGGGGGGGGGTTAACGCCCACTCGTCACAGACTAGGTCATTTCGGGACTAAGACATGGTTCAATTTTATTTTTATAATTCGCTTGCGCGTAGGGGTCTTTAGCAGTGGGAGGAAACCGGGGGACCCGGAGGAAACCCACGAGGTTGGATAGGCGACCCTACTCCTTGTCACGTATAACCGGGGAATCTAAACCTCGCCCGTTGACTCAATGACAGACCATATGATACAGCGCACAGGCTAACCATTCGGCCATCCAACCTCGCCGATCTGTATCGGAGCCAAAGATGGGTAGATCGTTGAATGATATCCCATTTGATCACCGATCGATGTTACTGGATAATCAAATAAAGCAATAAATGAACATTATTTGTTTACGGTCTAGTAGAGATTGTAAAAGCATTAATGCTTCTTTGAATTGTAGCTAGACCAAGTTAAAGAAACATTCTACAATTGTCATGTAAGAGATTGTGGCATGGTTGAATCTTGAAACAGTTGGTCTGGTTGAATCCTGAACATATGGAAGTGGGAGACAAGCGCTACCCTTCTTGTTATTATGTTGTTCTTGGGTGGGGGTGGGGGGTATATACTCGGTTCCAGATCCATAGTCCACTTGTGCTAATGTTGGTTTAGAAACCAGACAACTGTATACTGAAAAATGACAGTGCACACTGTGTTTTATCCTTGGTGGAAATTTGACTGGCCGAGTGCTATATCACCCGTGCTATGGACCCCCGCCGAGCCCCCATCACCGATAAAGATCCGTGTACGTTATCCCCGCCACAACTCACCGATAAAGACCAATGTGCGTTAAACCACATCTCTCAAAATCAAATTAAAAGCATCTTTGTTGTGAAATATCCGTTATTCCAGTATAGAATCCAAAGAACACCTTTTTATATTCTACATTTAGAAACAAACATTATGAATTATTATCATGAAATACTTTCAACTAATGACGAATCATAAATATGCATTATGGATTTCTAAAAGAAACCATTTTTTAAATTCCACAATGAATTCTGTTATGTAAATCATTTAATATGTTAACGAAATCAAAAAACAAAATTACTCAACAATAATTATTATCGGAACGTTT